TTTGGTCAGGGGGTTCAGGACAGAGGGGCTGTACATGCCTCCAAAGAGATACCCTGAGTTCTCTGGGGCTTTTCCATTTACAGAGCACCAGTAGGTGTTGATGCGAGCAGAGCGAACATGGTTGTTGTCCCGACACACTTGTCTGCGACAAGTTCTCCATCCAAACAATCCACAATGATGCTTTTCCTCATAGCAGTCATATGAAGTGTAACTCTGCTGTTTTGTTTCTGATCTCAGTAAAGTCGGCAAGTAAGGTGAACGGCAGGAGAAGTCGCCTGTATCTGGGTTTTTCTGGGTCAGGGTATCACAAAGTGGACCTGCATCTGGGCTGAGCTGAACACACTCTTGGTAGACACCACCAAAACTCAGGTTTGTAGCAGGCCCAGTACAGGAACTATCATCAATGTTGGCCTGGAAATTAAAGTTCTGGGAGTTGATGTCAACACACCCGGGGCGAGTGTTGACTTGATAGTAGCGCTCTATGGCCTGACTCACTCTGAGAGCCAGTTTGTTGATGGTAGGCTGTGGCAGACCAGGCAGGGTGTTGGTGTTTAGAATGTAGTGAAGGGGAAATCCTGAACGGTCAATAGCAACCAGGTTGTTTCTGGTACTTTCCTGCCACTTCTGCAGTGTGATGCCAGGATAGAAAGGTATGCCACCATGGCTTTGAATGAGGGAGTACTGAATGTTGGACTGATATTTCTGAAGCAATGAGCTCTGTTGGCTACTTTGACTGCTTATTTCAAACTTGAGTTTGTCAAAAAAGTTAAAGCCAGCCAGTGTTTTGACAGAGAAAGTCTGTGACTCACTGTTCAACACATATGATGAAGTGAGGTAGTCTTCCTGCACCAGAGCAGCCCCGGCATCCACACTCGTCAGGACATGAGTTCCATAGTCCAGCACCATCTTCTCCGAGAGATAGTCTGCGTTCCTCGTCTGGTTGTTTTCAATTGCATCAGCTATTTCTTTGGCTTGCTGAGCAAAGCGTGAATCCAGAGTGAAGTCTGGATAAGCCTTAACTGTGTAGATGAAGTTGCGAACCTTTTGAAAGAAGGATTGTAATGTCATTACATTTTTCAGGTTCTGCTTTTTCTGACATTTACAAAAAAAAAAAGTTGAATTCCTTTTCTTAATTTGCTTAAATTAAAACAAATATATGACATCTGTGCATCTACTGCTGGGAAAAAATAAGCGTTTTTTGGCTAACACAGGCACACATTCATGCAATGTGCAATAAACAGACCAGTAAAGAAATGAAATGTTTAGGAGCTATCAGCTTTTTTATAAACCACATTTTAAACATTACACCAAAAGTATTACTTTTATATGCATGAAATATTCTCCAAAGCAATATAAATTGAGTTTTTTGTTGTTGTTGTTTGTTTTTTAAGTTAATCCAAACCATTGTAATATACAAACATACCTGCACTCTAGCTGTAGCTGAAGAATCTTGGACCTGATGAGTTTTCATCCTCTTGTTCTCAGTAGAAAATTTACCATTTATCATCGAGAGGAAGGAGACGTCCACATTCACGCTGTGAGACGTCGAGCTTTTCTGCTCCAACCATGAATTTATTATCTCAGAGTTGGTCTCCACGCCCGTCTCTTTGTGTGGGATGACAAACACTTCATCTGGGATGAGGTAGAGCCCATCCTCAGTGGTCTGGCACTCCAAGTAGCTGATGTTCATGACTCGACCCATGTCCATGTTCCGGAGGTTGTCCCAGCCTCCGCCTGGCAGCACCTCCAGAGCTGTGACTGAGAGGTTGGTGGAAGCACGACGTTGTCTGAGCCAGTTGGTCGGGCGTCTTAGAGGGACGGTAGAGCAGACATGAAGGAGAGAGAGAGCCACGAGGGCCACGAGGGCCACGAGGGCCACTGCTGGCTTCATGACGGCTGTTTCAGAAATGAGGGCTGGGGATGGTGGAATTTAACTTCTTGCCACTTTCCTCCTCCTCCTCCTTTATGAACATTATCATNTCTGTCTCTAAGTGTAGCCCTGTGATAGACTGGTGACCTGTCCAGGGTGTCCCCTGCCTTCACCCCGAGTCAGCTGGGATAGGCTCCAGCCCCCTGCGACCCTAGTGAGGATAAAGCGGTGTATGGATAATGGATGGATGGATGTATTATACATCACTCATTACTTATTATAAAAATGAATGCCCAACTTTACTTATTTATTACCTGTAGACAGTAATTTGTCATAGACATTTTCCCCACAGCATCGTCCGAGGCTCATTGTGCACAAATCCCGACACTAATAAAAGAGAGCATAAATAAGATCTTTCTTTACGAAAATGACAACAGATTCATGAATTGTTTTACAGTATTTCAATTAACACTTCAAAGATTTAAGTCTTGGCAGTTTTATTGGCATGATACAGAATTACAAATAGAAACCATTCTTCATCTAATGCTCGTTATTCATATATCGAAATAAAAAAAATTTACGTGCTCATTTCTATTTAAAAATATGTTTGATAAACAGTAGACTCATTCATACAAAATGTTCAAAAGCTAAATGCATCAGGTCATCTTGGCCTCAAGAGGGCAGTATTGGTTCATTTGAAGTCATATCACCTCCAGATCTGACAAAATACAGTAAGATGTAATCTAAAGTTTAAGTAAAGCACATGTGATATAATAATTCAGAAACTGAATCAAAATAAAATCCCTGAAGCATGTGAACAGTTTACATTCATGTAAGAGGCATAACAGTGATTTCTGAGGTGTTGATAATCAAGGAAGTTAATAGCAGAGTCTGCCACGGCAGATTAATCCCTCTCTGCTGGTGCTGAGTCTCCAAGCTGCGTCTCCCTCTCAGCCTCCTCATGTATTTCTGTATAGCCTCCTCTCCTCCTCCTCCTCCTCCTCACCAGGACCACCACCACTACGACCACCACCAGCATCATACCCATCACCCCAAACGCTACCCCTGCCTTTTCTCCACCAGACATCTGCCTCGCTTCCTGGTTAAAACTTTGCAAAATATGCTTGATGTCCTCTGCTTTGGCAATTTTCCACGTCTTGGTCTGCCCCACCCTGACCCAGCTCATATCTCCGTCAGTCATCACCATCACCGTGTTAGTGTGTTGCATGGTGACAAGTGGTGGTTTAGTGAACGGAGGCAGAAGGACCGGTTTCAGCTGCCCACCTGTAGACAAGTTTGACTGGACACAGTAAAGGATTTCACAGCCGTCGCTGACTGCAGCAAGGTGCTGACTGAACGTAGGAGGGCAGCTGCGTTGATTCCTTGCCAGTGGATTGCTTGACTGACAGCTAAAGAAACCAGCGAATGGCACTGCATATCTGGTGCCAGTCTCGAACTCGTTACTCACGCAGATCATTTGGCCATCTGAGAGAAACCTGAGTGGAATGAAGTTTAGGGGGCAGCTTTTGGTTTTGGTCAGGGGGTTCAGGACAGAGGGGCTGTACATGCCTCCAAAGAGATACCCTGAGTTCTCTGGGGCTTTTCCGTTTACAGAGCACCAGTAGGTGTTGATGCGAGCAGAGCGAACATGGTTGTTGTTCCCACACACTTGTTCGGTACAGGTAAACAGGTCAAAAAGTCCACAATCATACCTTTCCTCATAGCAGTCGTATGAAGTGTAACTCTGCTGTTTCATTTCTGATCTCAGTAAAGTCGGCAAGTAAGGTGAGCGGCAGGAGAAGTCGCCTGTATCTGGATTTTTCTGGGTCAGGGTATCACAAAGTGGACCTGCATCTGGGCTGAGTTGAACACACTCTTGGTAGACACCACCAAAACTCAGGTTTGTAGCAGG